TTATCAATTTAGATTTTTTGACCCCATTGACTAAAAATTTTGGCTACACCCTAACTGAAAAGAGTTTGTTTGCTAACTTGAAGGTAATGGTTCAAACTTATATTGTATTATTTGTGTCAAACATTTTCATTTCATTATATTTACAAGGTGTTTTTTTAAGTATAATTTTCATGCCAATTAACAATCAACTAACTTTCAATGGTTAATTTTTTATGTCAAAGGACCAAGATGCTAGTATTTAAAATGAGTGTCCTTAGAAAACCATGGGGACTACAATGAACAATGAGATTCTCTCCTCTAACGGAGATTACCAAACACGTGCACCGATGCGCGTAGGGATTAACTCCCAATAGACTGTTTACAATACGAAATCAAAGTCCAAACCCAAACTTAAGAAACACAACTTTCTTTCTTCTCGTTTCAGATCAAATGAATGATTCCTCAAAAACTTCATCTTCTTCTCCAAAATTTTACGCGAAGTTGGAAACCCTAGCCCGAGCCCGAGCCCTGCAAAAACACACACTTGAACAAACAGCTTATAGGCGTCGCCTTTGAGCATCAAACCTCAAGTTTTGGGTGATTTTTGAGACGCCCATTAATGATTAATCAAGAGAAAGTGAGAATTTTGTAGTCGGTATTTGATGGGGGCAGAGAAGAGGTGGCTTTTCACTCTCTTTTCAGCTGCATTACTGTCACTCTTGTTACTGTTACTCTACTCTTTTTCAACTTTTAGTACTTCTTCAAAGCCTTTCCCTTCTACAATTCATCACGGGGCTCACTATCCTCCAGCTTTTGCTTATTATATTTCGGGCGGTAGAGGCGATAAGGACCGGATCTTTCGTTTGACTCTCGCGATTTATCATCCGAGAAATCGGTATTTGTTGCATCTGGGAGCCGATGCATCTGATGAAGAGAGGTTGAGGCTCGTTGCAGCGGTTAAGTCGGTGCCGGCGATTCGAAGTTTTGGGAATGTTGATGTTGTGGGGAAGCCTGATAGAGTCACTTACATGGGGTCCAGTAATTTGGCTGCTATTCTTCGTGCGGTTGCCGTTCTGTTGAAGGTTGATAAGGGTTGGAATTGGTTTGTTTATTTGAGTGCTGCTGATTATCCGCTTGTTACTCAAGATGGTATGCTTTTTTTTTTTTTTTAATTTTTTAAATTTAATTTTTGTGTTTGATCTTTTGTGTTTTGATTTTAATGGGTATTGTTATAAGTTGAGGGTGGATTTTTGGGTTTTTGTTTGTTTTATGTTTTATTTAGTGAGGGCTGGAATGTTTTCGAGTTTTTAGGACAGTTTGTGTATTGGCTAATTTGTATGATTTAGTGTACAGTAGTTTAAGTTTGAATGATTCGTTAGAGTAATGTAGTTTGCTTAATTAGGCTTTGACTAATTTATATTGATTTAGTTGACTTTTGACTACTCAGTTCATCTTAACTTCAAGTAGACATTTCAAATTCTTACATTGTTTCAGTATAATTTCCGCAGAAATTTTGAATTGTGTTAGTCTTTGAAAATATTGACTTTGATCTAAAGGAATGATACTGTTTAGTAAATGTTTAGTCAGTTTCTTGATGGCATCTCCAACTCTCGTATATTTGTGTTTGAGCTGAGTTGGTTTGATAGATGTCAGAGATTTAAGCCTAACCTTCTTCTTGCATAGACTACGGACTCCGAGTGCTTTCTCAATTTTCATTTTAGCCAATAACCAGATTGACCAATAAAGAGTCTTGATGTATCAAACTGAAAAAATGGCCTTATGTGTTATTGATGAGTGTATTCTTTATTTACTGGATCATCAGAATGCTGAGATTGATGTCTTGATTTTTCTTTTTTGCATTGACCTTTAATTGGTTGAGTTGCTGACAATTGTGCAAGGGCATTTGTGCACAATTACATTTTACATATATGGTCTTTGTAATTAATATTCATGCTGGTTGTGTATTTTAATCTTCTGAGGTGTTGTCTAGTGCCTTAGAATGTATTTGTGCATCCATTTGTACAAACACAAAAATGCACATATAGAAATGCATGATTTTTTATTTTGTTCACTCTAGGAGTATTGGGCTTCCATCTGTGCTATGTGGAGTAAAATCGCACATGTTTCTGAGATAGATCCTGAAAGAGCCAATACTATATGAAGACTAGGCCATAGTTGAATAACCTTACAATTTAGTCTGCGGAGGCCTTAAGAGGACTGCTGTTCAACTTGATATTCTGCTTTTAAGGGTAGGAACTGCTGTACTGCTGCATAAAGGAGTGATTTCCTGGATTATTGTGCAGGTTAAGGGTTCAAGTTAAAACAGACAAATAGCTCAGTGAAGCTGTGCATGGATGGGACAATCTGCTGCTTCGATGTTTGTGACCAAAGTTTTTTTTTGCCAAACTAATTACTTAGGGAGCTCTTTGTTCTATTACGTGCTTATTAGCTCTGATGTTATATCGGAAACCTTAGTTGTCGACAGTAACCTTTCACCTTAATATTAAGACTCAATTGTTATTGCCCAATACTGACTAGGGGGGCTTATCGTATGGTTATATGCCTCTTCCTTTAATGTTACATTTCACATCTCAGATGCTGATAACTAGCTGGTGGTAAATTTAACATTATTAGATGCTGATAATAGTTAACATGTTAGTTGCTCTTGTTCTATTTTTCCCCATGGTTTTTATATGTCACCATAATGTTTTGATGTCATAAACCTCATCCTGTTCCAGTTTTTCATTGTTTTTGGTGAAAATTGTATGGTTTCATATGCAAATTATTTGCTTGTCTTGATCCTCTGTATGATGTGCTAATCCTTTATTTTTTTGCTTTTGCTTTCTGATTTCAGACTTGGCCCATGTGTTCTCTTCTGTCAGGAGAGACCTCAATTTCCTTGATCACACCAGTGACCTTGGATGGAAAGAGTAGGCAAACCTATTTTCGCTAAATTTCATCATCTTGATGTTGCAGATTTTAAATGAAATCTGAAACATGTTGGTCTGTTGTTGATGCAGATTTCAAAGAATCCAGCCTGTTATAGTTGATCCAGGGCTCTACTTAGCAAGGAGGAGCCAGATTTTTCAGGCCACACAGAAGCGACCAACACCTGATGCTTTTAAAGTATTCACAGGCAAAGTCCTTTTCTTTATAATATGCTGTTTGGGCTTATTTAGGGTTATGCTTATGGATATGCTTCTACTTCTGTTGATGTTGTACTAAATGGGCAGTTCTTGTACTGCAGGTTCACAATGGTTTTTCTTGAGCCGGCCTTTCCTGGAATTTTGTCTTTTTGGTTGGGATAATCTACCTCGAACCCTTCTTATGTATTTTAACAATGTAATGTTATCTCAAGAATCCTATTTCCAGTCGGTCGTTTGTAATGCACCGGAGTTTAAGAACACAACCGTAAACAGTGATTTAAGATATATGATATGGGACAACCCTCCAAAAATGGAGCCTCACTTTCTAAACGTCTCCGATTTTGATCAAATGGTCCATAGTGGAGCTGTCTTTGCAACACAGTTTCAGAAGAATGACCCTGTGCTGAACATGGTTGATGTAAAGATCCTCAAGCGTGGACGTAACCGAGCTGTCCCAGGGGCATGGTGCTCTGGCCGAAGAAACGGGTGGATGGATCCTTGCTCCCAATGGGGTGATGTCAACATATTTAAGCCTGGACCACAGGCGAAAAAGTTAGAAGAGACCATTACAAACCTCCTCGACGACTGGAACTCACAGTCGAATCAATGCAAATGAAGGTAGGAAAACTGAAGAATATTTTCCAGAGTATTGGTGCAAATTTTTGGCATCACAGAAATGTAAAATGTTCAAAGGACTGCTGTCAACTGAGACATTCTTTCGTGTTTAGGCCAATTTTTTTGAGGTTACTTCAGTCAGACACAGGCTGTAATAGTGTTTATAAAAGCGGGCAGAGTTGAAGAAGGGGAGAGAAGAATTCACATTGAAATGATCGATCAATAAGAGGGTCTCCCTTGTTAGCTGCCATTTTCACGTTGTTGTATTTTCTACCATTTGTTTGTTTATTAGACAGTACTTGGATACACGAAACAGTTCATTCATTGAATTCTAATTTGTTGTATTGTTCTCATTACCATATTTCTCTCTCTAAGCTTCTCTTTTTGCCTTTTTTTTGTTTTTTGTTTGCTGCTTCTGGCAGCAATTGGCAAGAAGAATTAAACATTTTTACTACTAACTAGTTTAAGGAAGTTAGAAACAAAGTTTGATATGAACAGTATCCCCCCCAGTGTTTCCGCAACAGTTTAATATGAACAGATTGATTTTCCCAAATGATGATCTAAAATTATTCATATCGGTTCATGATTCACAGAAGGCTACGGCTACAGTTCACAAGTTTCACGTTATGATTCAAAAATTGAAAATAATTTGCTACTCAAATCAGTTTATTGTATGTTCAAATTCCTGATAATCATTAATAAGAAGTAAATCACAAATTTTACTCAAATAATTTCTAGATATAAATTCCATTTACGATTAAGACAGAAACAATTATTTTATTATTTCCCTAAAAGATAGGGGTCAGCAGGTTCGGGTATTTGGCCTATACCCTTAGAATTGGAGCCGACAGTTCGATTTAGGAACTAGACACTATTCACGAAAAATTACAAATATCTTCTACCGTTCACAAAATGACAAATATATCTTATGAAAATCACAAATACACCACCAAATATTTACAGAAATAACAAATACACCTCGAGTATATACCAGTTCCACGTCGGGTACCGAAACCCCGGTTTCAGTTTCGGTTTCTGAAGTGGTGAAACCGAAACTGGAACTAAACGGTGCCGATTCCACCAAATTTGAAATCAGAACCGACACCCCAAGTACCAGCCCATTTCAATTCTACCCTAAAAATTTACTCATCCCTAATAGAAAGTCCATGCTCGAAAGGATCATATACATTCGCAAGTCCATAATGGCTTGAAAGTATAATTGGTTACTTGTGTGTTTATTTTGGTTTGATTTCAATCTCAATGGGTGGCTTTAGATCTCTAAAATCTCTCTCAAAACCACCCAAATGCCTCAATCTTTCGCGTCCCAATACATCTATTTCAAATGGGTCTCTCACAAATCATCATCTCACCTTCTACAGATCAAACCGCGGCGTTTCGGACAAAACCCACGAGTTTATTCACGCCGCGCAACAACACCCGGATGCCAAAACAGAGACTTTAAACCATAAAATCACAGAGGAATCTGAAAGAATCTGTAAAGTAGTATCAAACAACACTTCTAATATAGACTCGTCTCTAAATAACGCTTCAATTGAGGTGTCTCCAACGCTTGTTCTTGAGGTTTTGAAGAGGCTGAGCAATGCGGGTGTGCTGGCGTTGTCTTTCTTTAGGTGGGCTGAGAAGCAAAAAGGGTTTAAACATGATGCAGAAAGCTATAATGCGTTGATCGAATCTCTGGGAAAGATTAAACAGTTTAAAATAATATGGGAATTAGTGAGCGAAATGAAGAGTAAAGGGTTGTTAAATAAAGAAACTTTTGCTTTAATTTCGAGGAGATATGCGAGAGCTAGGAAGGTTCAAGAAGCCATTGATGCCTTTGAGAAGATTGAGGAATTTGGATTGAAGTTGGAATCATCAGATTTTTATAGATTGTTTGATACTTTGAGTAAGTCAAAGAATGTAGAGGCTGCACAAGAGGTGTTTGATAAAATGAAAAAGAGAAGATTTGAACCTGATATTAAGTCGTATACTATTTTGTTAGAAGGGTGGGGAAGCGCTCAGAATTTGTCGAGATTAAACGAGGTTTATACAGAAATGAAGGGTGAGGGTTTTGAGCCGGATGTCTTAACGTATGGGATTATGGTTAATGCACATTGTAAGGTTAGGAAGTATGATGATGCAGTTGAGTTGTTTCGTGAAATGGAAGCGAAGAATTGCAGGCCTAGTCCTCATGTTTTTTGTACTCTGATTAATGGATTGGGTACTGATGGGAGGTTAAATGAAGCCTTTGAGTTTTTTGAGCTGTCGAAGAAGAGTGGTTTCGCACCAGAGGCACCTACTTGTAATGCTGTTGTGGGAGCTTATTGTTCTGCGAATCAGATGCATGACGCTTATAGGATGGTTGATGAGATGAGAAGACTTGGGGTTGGTCCGAATTCTCGAACTTATGATATAATTCTTCATCGCCTTTCAAAGGCTGGGAAAACAGAAGAAGCTTACTCTGTATTTCAGAAAATGAGCAGCTAGCCAGGCTGTGAACCAACCGTGAGCACGTTTGAGATTGTAATTAGGATGTTTTGCAATGAAGGCAACGTAGATATGGCAATCAGGGTTTGGGATCAGATGAAGGCAAAGGGAGTGCTTCCTGGGATGCAATTGTTCTTGACATTGATTCATAGCCTGTGTCTTGAGAATAAGCTAGGTGATGCTTGCAAGTATATTGAAGAGATGTTGAACATGGGTATTCGGCCTCCAGCCAAGATGTTTAGTAATCTGAAACAAGCTCTTCTGAATGGGGGAATGGCGCAAACTGCTCTTATGTTAGTTATGAAGATTGATAAACTAAGGAAAACTCCATTAGTAAGTAGAGGTCAATAAAAGCACCAAGAGGTATTTCTTATACGACTTTATGGCCTACTTCGCGGCCATAGGAGAGCTGCTAGACAATCTGCCAACCATGGTTACGAGAATCTGGGCACACAACGTTATACTTCTTCTGAATAGGGGATTCTATCATATGGTTTCAGTAGTGATTTACAAAAATCATGAAATTTTCTTTACTGAAATTTTGGGGGCATGCAAATGAGTTACTGTATCTTTAACTTTCATAAGAACCTTTGCTCTCAAATTTTTTCACTTGTCAATGGCTTGATCTCTTATAACCTGAGAAATAATTCAGTGAAAAGAGAACTATGTTCCTGCTCCATCAGAAGTTCAATTGCTCATTACATTGCTGCAACACTTAAGGAATGAGTCGAATGACACTGTTTCCTCATATTTTCTAGACCCATTTATTATTATTTACCACAGTCTAAACTTAAATGAAATTTGCTAGAATCAAAGCTCTATTTCATGGTTCTCTGCTTCAGTTGAGACCCAAATGGATAAAACAGAATATATCAGATGAATGAAAGGTATTCAGGAACAATAATAAAAAAGCAATCAGAATTTTTTTTTCTTAAAACGTTTCCTCAAAATGTTGCCCAGAAATACATCTTCAACATTTAAAAAAAAAAAAACCCCAGAATCTCAAAACAAAACTCCATAAAGAAAACATAGACAAGTATTGGAGATAGTAAAAACATAACAAGGGTCATGTTAACTATCACTAAACTAGAAGCCAAATATCCAAAGAACCAGAGAAGAAAAACCCACCAAAACCTTCAAGACCTCAAGATTCACCATTGATCTTCTTCTCTGAGCCGATGGTTTTGGTTTTGGCTCTGGCTGTGGCACTGCTGGTAAAACATCACCAATCCCAAGAACAGCAAGCCTCTCATCTGCATACACATCTTCAATAACAAGAACTTTATTGACCAACAAGCCCTCCCGATCCTGCCTCAATGTGACGGTAATTTTATACGCTTCCAAGAATGTGGGCACCGCCGCTGGATAATCCAAATCAATCAGAACCGACCACGGCATCTTGCATGGCACCACGTGCCGGAGAAAGACCGACGAATAATCACTGAAATTACTAAAATAACCCTCCATTTTCTCATCCGGAGGAGCGAACAGAGTCAGCAAAGTTGACTCCTTTGTCGTGCCCATTTGCAATTCAAGAAATGAAGCCATAATTGAGTACCCTTTCTCTTTCATTTTGCAAATAGCCTCATCGAAACTCATCGAGCCATCGCCGCCGTCTTCATCGTCATCACGTGCCGATGCTACACAATCAAGATTAGTCCTTGGAGAGGCACGAAAGTTTGGATCAAAGAACTTCTCAATCCCAAAGATTCTCAACCACCCGTCGTCGTATATCACTGAGCTGGCGTTAACCTTGACGCCATTGAGCAAAACGGAACCTTGATCACGAGAAGGCAGTGAAGTAACGAGGAGAGTGTGGGAAGGGGAGAAAGTTGGAATCTTGGAGTTAAAAGGGAGGGATCTGAGGGACTGGGAGGTCAAAGATTTGGGAGAAAAGTGAAATTTCAGGAGGGAAAGAGACGGTTGGCCAAATGAAGCGAAGGTGGAGTCGGAAGGGGTGAAGATGGTGAGGGATTCAGAGAGAGGGATCAAGTTCTTGGAGCCGAATTCAAGGGTGAGAGCCATCGAAAGAAAGCCGGAATTCGAGAGTATTTCGACGGCTTTGGAGATGGAATCATTGGAGAGACAGGAGGAGAAAGAGAGGAGGGAAAAGAGAATGAGGGAGATGAAAAGTTTGGGGGCCATTGATGACAATTCGAGGTCTTTCTCTGCAGAGTTCAGTTAGTTATAGTTGCAGAGAAGGAGTGAAGGACGTTGGTCGAGTTTTAGCGGGAAATGTTTGACACGTGGCGAATTGGGTTTTCTTGATATTCAGACTAGGAAAAGTGGTTTGAATTCCGAAAATGCCCTTGATTATATTTTTATATCAATTAATGTGATTATTATGGTTTTTGTGTATCTAAATTCTTATGCATAGTGTAGTATGATTCATATATGAATTAAAATGTAGAAATCCATGATAATTAAAAACAATAAAATTTGATCAATTTAAGATAAATATAAGACAGGAGCATTAGAACTCATATAATATTACATTAATTAATTAAAGCTACATTCAAATAAATTCTAGACAAAAGAAAAGCCCTAATCCAAACCTTAAAAAAAATTCCAATAAGTTTAGTTTTATTAATAATCTTAAACTTTAATTAGCACCCATAAAAAATTTTATTCGTCATCCTTGTAGCAAAATCATCACTATTTCCACCACAAACATTATAACCATCAGGAGGGTTAGAATAATGAAATTGAGGATAATCATACTCTCCCAAACCAGGATAATTATTGTTTGAATCTTGGGAGTGATGTTGTAGAGTATTTGGTACCTCAGTATTTGGTACTTCAGTATTTGGTACTTCAGTATTTGATACTTTAGTATTTGAGACTTCAGTATTTGGTACTTCAGTATTTGAGACCTCAGTCTTTGGTACTTCAGTATTTGGTACCTCAGTATTTGAATTATTAGTCACAACTTCCTTCTTTTTATCGTCACGACTACGAGGACTTGCTGAAAGAAAATGAAGAAAGAAACAATCGTCAAGTGCTTGAAAATATAAAATAATTAGTTTTTAGGATTATCAATATGATTATTATCATTGACCACAGAAAATAGCAAAGAAATAGTCAATAGAAGCTCAGAAAATAATAACAAAGAAAAGCTCATGAAATTAAGTATATAGAAGATGAATGGAGATGAGTTTCATACAAAAACAAGCTCCCATCTCTCCTATGACAAGTTTAAGCTCTGCACAACGAAATAGTTTAAGCATAAACTCGTGTATTTATAGTCGGGTTTTGAAAATTTTATGAATGTAAATTTTTATGAATGCTTCAATTAATTAAATAGGAAATTAATTAACATGCAATAGAGAGAAATAGGAAGATTAATATTTCATATTTGGACTTTTTAATATTGAAAATCCCTTTCTAAATTGGGATTTTTCAAGGGTCCTTGTAATTTGGTAATAAATCTTCTTAAAATTGGGAAAATATGATAATTTCCTATATAAATTTGTCCTCTGAATTTGGTCAAATTGAAATTGAATATTGGCCGAGAAGAAACTTACTGAAAATTTATAATATATTTCCTTGATATTTGAATATTATTATTATTACGATGACTGGGGTGTTCGAGTTAGTTTATGCGTACCTCAACTAATCTCCTAAAACACTAGAACCATTGACTGGGTATAAGCTCCACTGACTACCCTATTAGTAATCGAGGAGGGACTTGAACTCAAGACCTTTGAGTAATACACCCAAGAGTCTCCATTGAACTGCTCAGCTATCCAGAGATAGTTATATTTGAATATTATTGTTATTTGATTGTGAAAACAAAATTGAATCTACTTTTCTTAATTAAGAGAGTTTAAGACTTCCATTTGTGGAAAAATACTTTAGCAAGTTCTTATTTCTTATACGTAAGGACTATTAAACACGTCAATCTATTACAATCAAATGACATTGTAACACTACTCTCCAAAAGTGCAGTACACCTTTTGGAGAGTGGAGATTCTCTGGATGTATTTATGTATAGAAATTGTGAGCCTTTATGGGAATTGGTTTCGTATGAGAATAGGGAAGTTCGAGGATATGGAAACAAGTCATTTAATAGGTTGCCACTTTTATTATCAAATATCAGTTAAGAAAAGTTTCTTATGCAATGTGATGAAAATTTAACTAAAATTAAAATAAATAAATAAACAAAAGAGAAATTTTGATAAAACGACACGTAAATCATGTTAAAACAAGCTCAAAATGACAGTGAACAAAAGCTATGGAGTGTGATGAAAGAGAACCGTAGAGAAGGAGCCGATGGGGAGGGGAGCAAACCTGAGAGAAGGAGCAAGTAGACAGAGAGGCTGCTAAAGCGGCTGCTAATTCTTGATCAGTTCTTGCAATGCGGAAGAGAAACCCTAGATTGGTAGGATTTTGTACAGGTGGAGGAAACCCTAAATTGATAGGATTTTCAATTTTCAATTTTCATACAGTGGTGGTAGGGATGGGCACAAAGCCCAGCCCTGCGGGGACTCGCCCCGACTCGGTCTGAACGAGGCAGATTTTTCTCGAATTATACTATACTGTTAATATATATATATATATATATATATATATATCATTTTGATATTTGGATTCATTATAATCATTAATCAGGGACGGATCCAACACTTGTTGAGGGTGGGCATTTTAATAAAAAAATACTAATATGTATAATTTATGGATTTTAGCCTACCCTAACAAAATTGTTAATTGAAAAAAAATATTAATGTGCAATTAGTTTTTATTTTGGCCTACCCTAACAAAAATATTAATATGTAATTAGTTAAAATTTGTGTACATGTTACTTAAATATCATCTAATTTATATTTTTCACTAGTTTATGAGGAAATTGAAGTGGAATAATTTTGATGATATGGATACTTTTAGTGAAAAGTTTTGGATTCCATATGTGATAAGTTTATTTCTCCATATTTTAATTGTATACAATTTAATATGGTTTAGATTTTTTTTAGGTTTGTAATAATCTAAAATTTGTCCACAGGTTGTTTGTGGGCTGTGCACGTGGAAATGGAATGTTAGGTGTTGTCTGTTGGTTGTTTAATTTTGATAGTTGATACTGTAATGTATTAAATCTACTGAAGTATTGATGTGGATTGTGAGGTGGGTCTTTTTGGCAGCTCATGTTTTAAATCTTAATACTGTCATGTTTTGAATCTTTTGATTATAGATCTGTCACATATTGTAATATATTATCAATTTAGTATAATGGTTTTTATATTTAATATGTACGTTATACATTTAATTTCTTTTTTGATGATATGGTCTTTATGTTTAATATGTATATTATATATTTAATTTTTTTTTTTTTGTTGGTATATATAATTTAGAGAAAAGGATAATACAACTAATAAGGATACAAAAAGACAGAAAACCCCCAAACAGGGAATTCAGGGAATCCCCGAATTCCCCGTTTGGGGAACAGGCTTTTTTCGGGGATTCTCCGAATTCCCCAAACGGGCTTCGGGCCGAGATCAGGGAATCCCCTTGGGCTTTCGGGCCAGGGCTAGAGATAAGGGTCCTCGGCCCTGCCCCGGCCCGTGCCCATCCCTAGGCGGTGGAAGTTTAAA